TGTAAGAGGAGAGAGAAGGGACAGAGAAGGGGGCAAAGAGGGGACAGTGAGGAGGCAGAGGTGGGGGCAAAGACCCATCCCTGGGGACAAGAGTGGCAGAAGAGAAACAGAAAGGGAAAGAGGAAGAGAAAAAGAGAAAGAGACAGGAGGTGGGTGAGGCCCACGTTTGAGAAGGGAGCATAGTGTATGTGTACAGGAGGTGCTCTTAGTGGCTGCAGCTGAGGGTGAATCTTTCCAGGACCCCAAGGGCAAGTTATTTTACCCACTGAACCATTTGTCAGTGTTCTTCCCTCCCTCACCCGCCTCACCCCCCCCCCCAGGACTGGGGAAACAGGGTCTCATATATCTAAGCCTGGCTTCGAATTCTTTAAGTAGCCAAGGCTGGTGATCTTGCTTTCACTTATGGAATTAACAGATTTACATCTCACCCAGTTTATGCAATACTGGGCATTGGACCCAGAGCCTTCCTGTATGCTTTCTAGGAATGGATGCTCAGGTAGGCACTCTAGCAATGAACTATAAACACTGTGCCAAGTGAGCTATAAGCACCATGTCAAAAGACTACAAGCACCGTGCCAACTGAGATGTTTCCTCAGGATCCTTTATTAAAGCCAGTATGTGAAGTCAACAGAGGTACCCATTGGCAGGTGAATGAATAAAGAAAATGTGGGCACAGGGTATGGTGGTACAGGCCTGTAATTTTAATTATGCCAGAGGATGATATAGGAGCAATACAATCAGGAGGACACTCGGGGAAATTTTCAAAACTCTGTCTCAAATAAATATTAAAAAGGACAGGAGAGGGACTGGAGAATTAGCTCAGCAGGTAAGAGCACTGGCTGCTTTTCCAGAGGTCCTGAGTTCAACTCCCAGCAACCACAAGACAGCTCAAAACCATCTATAATGAGATCTAGTGCCCTCTTCTGGCAACAGGCAAACATGCAGACTGAACACTATATATATAATAAATTTAAAAAAAAAAAAAAAAAAAAGGAAGGGGGAACTGGGGAGGTGGCTCAGATAGTAAAGAGCTGGCTGTGCAAGCATGAAGGACCTGAGTTCTGATTCCCAACACCTGTATAAAAGCCAGGCTCAGTGGCATTGCTTGAGGCCAAGACAAGAAGACAAGAAGACAAGAGTCACTGGCCAGCCTGCCAGGCAGAATCCAAGAGTTGCAGATTGAGTGAGAAACCCTGCCTCAAAAACTAAGGTGAGAGCCAGGCAGTGGTGGTGCTCACCTTTAATCCCAGCACTCGGGAGGCAGAGGCAGGAGGCTCTCTGGTCTCCAACACAGCCTGGTCTACAGAATGAGTTCCAGAACACCCAGGGCTGTTACACAAAGAAACACTGTCTGGAAACCACCCCCAAAAAATACTAAGGTGAAGAAGTCTGAGGACACTCCATTTGACCTTGGAGTTGCATATACAGGTGCACCACCCACTCATACACTAAGCACTCACACACTAAGGACAGAAGGCCTAGGTATGCCCTCTACAAAAGAAAAAAGCAGAAGCATAGGCCATACCTTTAATCCCAGCACCCTAGAGACAGAGGCAGGAGGCTCTCTGGTCTCCAACACAGCCTGCTCTACTAGTGAACTCTAGACCAATTGTACAGAGTGAGACCCTGAATAAATGAATGAGAAAGACCTAGAAGAGAGAGAGTGACAGAGGAAGGGAGGGGAAAGAAAACAAAGGATATTGTGGCCTATTTGGGTGATGGGATGCTATAGTGGATAGAGATGGAGGATGTTATAAACTAGGCAGCCAGAAACACATTATCACATGTTCTTACCGATGAGGAAATTAAAAGGTGGATACAGCCAGGCAGGGTGGATCTCTGAATTCAAGAGTAGCCTGGTGTACATAGTGAGTTCTAGGACAGCCAGAGCTATATAGTAAGACCCAGGGTTTGCACATGCAAAAACCTGGATTTAGGCTGTCAAGAGAGCTCCACAGGTTAAGGTGCTTCCTGCCAAGGTTTTCATCTGAGTTCTCAAGACCTAAGGCCCATATGATAGAGGGAGAGAACCAGTTCCAACAGTCGTCTTTTGACTTCCACATCCACATGTATGCCCCAAACTCAAATAAATAAATAAATAAATAAATAAATGTATGTTACAAAGAAACCCTGTCTCAAAAAACCAAACAAACAAATGTTAATAATAAAAACAACCCCCTACCCTCAACGCTGGTTGGACCAATGAGATGGCTCAGCAGATAAAGGGCCTTGCTGCTGCATCTGACAGCCTGAGTTTGATCCATAGAACCAATGTGGTGGAAGGAAAGGGTTAATAACCGAAAATTGTCCTCTGACCTCCACATGTGCTGCTTGGCATATATGTGCACACTTGCACTTGCACATACACATTTGAAAAACACCTTGGCTAGAAGGAGACATTCTTCTGTTTGTAATGCTAGGGATAGAGCCAAGGACCTCACACTTATGGTTTAAAACTGATTAGGCAATTTAATAGTATATCATAGAAATGTCCACAAAATATGTTAATGGGGTTGGGGCTGTGTAGGGTGCTTGCCTAACAAACAGGGGACCCTAGAGTCCAGCCTTACTCAGTACCATACTAGCATATTAGCACAAGGCAGTCCCAGCACTGGGGAGGAGGAGGCAGAATGATTATTTCAGTCATTCTCAGCTACCAGTCTAAAAAGAAATAAATTAATGATAAAGAACAATAATAAAGCTCCACATATTTAGCTCAATAGTTAAATTCCCCAGAGTCTGCTCCACCAATGTATCATGGTTCTTGTTGGCTGTTTGTTTTGTTTTGTTTTGACTTTGGTCAAAGTGTGTGTGGTTTGGTTTGGGGGTTTTGTTTTGTGGTGTTTGAGACAGAAAGAATATCACTGTGTAGCCATGACTGGACCTGAACTCCATATGTAGACCAAGGTGGACTGAACTCATTGAGATCCTCCTGCCTTGGTCTTGCCTCTTATCACTGATGCTGTTTACTGCGTTTTCATCTCGTGCCAGAAATTCCAGCCATTGCACCCTCATTTCACTAATGTCTCACTGTTTCCCCATTATCCGGGTGATGAAAACGGGGTTGGCACGGAGACCATTTGTTCAGTCTCAGTTAAGTTCTGTCCCCAAGTGGGCGGCTTTGAGTCATTGTGAGCTCACAGCGCCCTCTGAAGGTCATGTGTGGAACAGAGACAATACCATAAACTCGATCATTTAGATTATTGTTTGTAAAGGATCTTAGTGAAGTGATCCAAATCTTTTCATCCCTTGATTTTGTTTCTGTCCTGGGAAAGTTCAAGAAGGTGTAAGAGGGGGGTAGGATCCTGGATTAGATGTGTGTGAGGCAGGGCGGGCACAAAGAATTGATGGGAGGGATTCCAGAGGGTCATAGCCAGCCCTGGAGGGTCTAAGTAGGCCTAAAAAATAGTGAAGGTGGGCAGAAGGGATGGTTCAGTGGTTAAGAGCACTGGCTACTCTTTCAGAGGTCCTGGGTTCAATTCCCAGAATCCATATGAGAGTGATGTACATTTTCTGTATCATAACTCCAGATCCAGGTCATCTGATGCCTTCTTTTAGCCTTCAAGGGCAACAAACAACATACCTGCAAGCAAAACACCCACACACATAAAATAAATATTATATATATATATATATATATATATATATATATATATATATATATATATTTCCCCCCAGACAGGTTTCTCTGTGTGGCTTTGGAGCCTATCGTGGTACTTGCTCTGTACACCAGGCTGGCCTTGAACTCACATAAATCTGCCTGCCTCTGCCTCCCAAGTGCTAGGATTAAAAGTGTTTGCCACCACTGCCAGGCATAAAAATTAACTTAAAAAAAAAAAGGAAATAAAGAAAGCTTTCTGCTGGGAGTCTTTAGACTTGGAAAGAGGAGACTCTGGAGGTGTAGGCAAGAGAATCAGAAGCTCAAGGTTATCCTTGACTACATAGTTTTCAAGGCCAGCCTGGGCTACATCAGACCCTGTCACACACCAAAAAGGGGAATACATAAAATTAGGTTCCCCTGAACATGTGAGCATAGTGCTGTGTGCCACTGGCAACCCGAGGGGCCTGAGTTCAAACCACAAAGTAGGACAGCTCCAATTCCCTTGAGTACGTACACACACCAGAGAGAGAGAGACTGTGGCTTTGGAGGCTGTCCTGGAACTAGCTAGCTCTTGTAGACCAGGCTGGTCTCGAACTCATAGAGATCCGACTGCCTCTGTCTCACGGGTGCTGGGATTAAAGGCATGTGCCACCACCGCCTGACCCAAAAATAAATTTAAAAAATTAAAATATTACTGAAAAAGCAAAGAATAGAAGTCAGATGTCGTGCCACACACCTTTTCATTTATTTATTTATTTTTAATTTTTCCAGACAGAATTTCACTGACTGTTCTGAAATTCACTACATAGGCGAGGCTGGCCTCAAACTTAGAGATCCCCCTGCCTTTTCCTCCCGAGTGCTGAGATTAAAGGCGCCCACCACTACACCCACTCTGGCACACATCTTTAATCTCACCATTTAGGAAGCAAAATCAGGTGGATTTCTGAATTCGAAGCCACCCTGGGCTACATAGTTTCAAGCTAGTCAGGACAAACACCAAATCATATCAATAACGGTAAAAGGAGGGAAAGTTTGACGCAGAAAAAGTTGTAGTCAAAATAAGAAGCGTGACAGGAGGCTTATCCAAAGCCAATCAAAAGATATAAAAAAAAAATGAAAACTTATTTATCAGGTAGCACCCACCCATGGGCGTGCCGGCCTTTCACCTATCCTTGAGTTCATTGGCTGAAGCAAAAGGTTCAGAGCAACCTCATTGGTCATCTTTCGGTTCCGCGCTCCTTAGGGGCGGGGTTTCCGGCTGTCCGCAAAGCTAGCGGGCATCAGCAAAATTTCGCTTTTCGGAGCTGAGGGCCGCGGAGTCGCATTGGTGATAGTGGCGTCTCAGTCGACGTCATCAACATTCGCCGGGAGTGTCTAAAGGGCTTGGCCTCTCTGCTGTGAGATTTGACCCGAGATGCTGCGGCTATTCCGGGCTGCTTCGCACGCCTGGGTTCGACCCCCTGTCTCCCGGGTAGGGCACCGAGCTAAGGTCAAGGACGGAGGTCAAAGGTTGGGAACTCTTAGGGAGCGTCTCTAACTAAATGCCCATGGTTTTCCAGGTCCTCAACTCGCTAGCGGAGGACTCCGCACGGCCAGCGGAGAGCTCGGAGCCGGGGGTTAGAGCGGGTGAGGCGGCGGGGATCACACCCTGACACAGGTTGGAGAGGATGCACCGAAAGTGTTGATTTTTATTTCTGACACCTGTTCACTCATTCCCCGACTCCCAGGTCTCCTAGATCCTGTGGTGCGCAAGTGCAAGCACCTGATCCCGGCGCACCGGCGCCCGGTACAGGCCTGGGTCGAGTCACTGAGAGGCTTCGAGCAGGAGCGCATTGGTCTGGCGGAGCTGCACCCTGAAGTGTTTGCTACGGCGCCCCGGTGAGTGCATGCAGGAGTGGGAGAACTTTTGCCACTGTTTCTCCATGTGACAAAAGGGGTGATCAGGACGACTAAGGACACAGCCCTACAGCCACCCTGGGCTGTTACATCCTTCCTTACTGTCGGTCCCCTTTTATCAGACCTCAGCAAGTTGGGTGATGACTAGGTAGGTTAATCTAGCACACAGGAAATTTTCTAGAAACGTTGATTATTAGAGCAGCGGATGTGCACAGTTGGAGGGTTTGCCTAGCGTGAACGAGGCCCTGGGTTCCCTTCCACTATTGCACACAACGACCATAGGAACCCACAACTCCAAATCCAACACTATGGAGGTGGAAATAGGAAGACAGAGAAATTAATGGTCAAGGTTGCAAAGTGAGTTCCAGGTCAGTCTGGGCTATGTGGCACCATACATGAAAGTAAAAATACTAAATATCATGAATTAACGTTTTTAAAAATAACTGATAAGAAAGCCAGACTTAGCTGAGTGATGTTGGCACACACCCAGCACTCGGGAGGTAGAGGCAGGTGGATCTCTGTGGGGTTGAAGCCAGCCTGGTCAACAGAGTGAGTTCCAGGACAGCCAGGGCTGCACAGATTTTTTATTTCCTGTGTGAAGTGTCTTTCTGAACGTATCTTTATCACATGTGTGCAGTGCTTTCAGAGGTCCAAAAAAGGAAGGGTCAGGACTGCAGTTAAAACCAGCTGTGAGCTGTTTTGAGTGCTGGGAATTGGACCTGGGCTCTCCACAAGAGCAGAAGCATTCTTAACCATAGAGCCATCTCTCCAGCCTCCCTCCCCTCACACTTGGACCTGCTGGATCCAGCCAAGACAAAATATTTCAGTTAGAGAGCAGGTATAAAAGTTCTGATGTTTGACTCCACTCTGGTTTTCAGAAGCAGATTCTTACCATGAAGCATGGCTGGGCCTTTAATTTTCCATCCTCCTGCTTTAGCCTCTTGAGTACCAAAAGGTCAGGCATAGTCACCACATCCGGCTGGACTCTGTCGTACATAGACTGGCTTGAGTTAAGGTGTCAGCTGTGGTCAGGAAAGAGAAGGACATAGGGTCCTGAATATCCAAGGAAGAATCAGGTCTCCTCTACTGGGATGCAGGTGTGGGAGAGTTTCAATTGGGGTGTCTCTCTTAGGTCTCCCTTCTGTTTTTTCCAGGCTGGACATCCTACACCAGGTTGCTACCTGGCAGAAGAACTTCAAGAGAATTGTAAGTGTCCTGAGTGGCATGGCAGAGTTTCCCACTGGGCTCAGAGGCCTGTGAATGTGCTCTTTGGAAACAGTCCAGTTCAGGCCTTGTACATACAGAGGCAGGTTACTTCTCCGATATCTCAACATTCATCCCTGTCCTGAGGACTCAGTCTAGTAGGAGAGGTAAACAAAAAATCAGTAGTTAGACTAGGCACATATCTTTCCAGAGAGAGGTACTTAGTGCTGTGTTCTGGGTAATAAGCCCAGAGCCTCAGAAGTTGGGCAATTGCTCTATTAATAAGCAAACCCCCCTCATTTTGGTATTTCTACTATTAAGCCATGTCACCAGACCCTCATTAGAGATTGTAGACAGGTGCTCTACTATTGAGCCATGTTCCAGCCATAAAGGGACATTTAACTTATTCGGTCTATAGTCTGACCTAACTAGCTGACAGGGAGTATGGCTAGAGTGGAGTTAATAGGCAAGGCATGCATGAATACTCTGTGGAAAGTACCATACAGAGCCTACTATGACCATTTAGTCAGTGAGAGCAAAGAGTTTTGTGCCATCAACATTCAGGAGTCAACAGGGGAGGAGCCAGGTGTGATGGTTCATGCTTGCAATTGCAACACTACAGAGGCTGAGGAGGGGAAATTGAAAATTCAGGGTCAGCCTGGGCTATGTAGGGAGGACTTGGTCTCAGTCCAGTGAGCTAGTACTCAGAGGTGTCAGGTGCTTCTGTGAACTGAGCAGCATGGCCCTACCTCACAAGGGAGGGACTCTGGTCCCTTTACTCTCATTCTTTCCCTAAGACAGTCTTCACTGGCATTTGTCTGAAACACCCCCCCCACCCCCAATCTCTTTTACTCACAGAGCTATGCTAAGACCAAGACCAGGGCTGAGGTGAGTGGTGGTGGCCGCAAGCCCTGGCAACAGAAAGGCAGTGGCCGGGCCCGACATGGCAGCATCCGTTCCCCCATATGGCGGGGAGGTGAGTGGGACCCAGTTGGGAGGGAGTCCCTGATGACCCTTTCCATGCAGGTGCCCACAACTGCCCAGCTAAGAGACATCTGACTCCCTAGCTTATTAGCCTACTGGGATAGGCACTGGAACTCAAGCATGCTGAGTAGTGGGGGGGGGGGGGCAGAGATCTGGGAACCTTACACCACCAAGCCTATTTATGCAGTGCTGGGGATGGGACCCACAGTTCTGTGCACACTAGGCAAGCATTCCCAACCGAACCACAGCCCTAGCCCTCAACCTTCTCTTTGATAACTTAATCGTTTACTTTTTACTTTTGAGACTGTGTCTTGCTATATAGCGAAAGCTGGTCTTGAACTCTTACTCTTCAGTTTCTTGTACTAGAGTTAGATGACTATGACTATACCTTCATGCGTGTCCACAGGCCATCACCCACCTCTTGTCTAGTCTTTCCTACTCTCCCCATGGTTCCTAGTGAGGTCTCTGGCCCCTCCCAGCTCCTCTAGCTACTGTTCATTGCCTACTCACTTTGTCTCACGCATCAGGCTGATTTCTGACCTCCCAGGCTAGCAGTGTCCAGCACCTGTTCACATACCACTGTCCTTGCAGGAGGCGTAGCCCATGGTCCCCGGGGTCCTACAAGTTACTACTACATGTTGCCTATGAAAGTACGGGCACTGGGCCTCAAGGTGGCCTTGACAGTCAAGCTGATGCAGGTATGGTACAGTATAGCTGGGAGGGAAAACAGCTGGTTCCTGGGGGTCCTAGTACAGACCCCCCCCAATCCTGTTTTTCTCCACAGGATGACCTACACATTGTGGATTCCCTGGAGCTGCCCACTGCAGACCCTCAGTACCTGACAGAGCTGGCCCAGTACCGACACTGGGGGAGTTCCGTGCTCCTTGTAGACTTGTGAGGGCATAGGGCAGGATGGGGAAGTGGAGGTCAAGTCTTCTGTGTCCTGCCAGGCTCACTCTCTCAGCCTCCATCTGTTCCAGGACACACGAGGAGATGCCAGAGAATGTTGTGGCAGCAACCTCCAGGCTCAAGAACTTCAACCTGATCCCCACAGTTGGTAAGTGAAGCACTCAGCCCTCACCTTGGAGCAAACTAGCACACAAGTCCCATTGTTAATCTTGGGCAGTTCAAACCCTGTACCAATCACACCATGACTGAATGACATGTCTAAGAATTCACCATTTAGTTGTGCTGGGGTGGAAGCCAGTGCCCAGAGCCTCCTGTGCTAGGCATGTGCTCTGTTCAGAGCCACCCCTCCATCCTTCAGCTGCCCCAGCTACAAGAAGCATTGTGAAGGGTCATATCTGTTAAAAGTATTTTCACATGTAGCCTGCAGGGGGGTGAGCATGGGCACCTGGGTGAAAGCTGGGTCCGTTTGTCAGTCCCTTGTGCCCCCCCACCCCCTTTTCCTCCCCTCTCAACAACTCCTGCTGATTCTGATCTCCCAGTGATACTGAAGTGTCTAATCACTTCCTAGGGCTTCCTCACTGGAATGTGGTATGGGAATCACAGTCAAATACTGGGCAGATGTAAAGGCAGGTAGTTTCTTAGCACTGATGTGGGATCTGAAGACTAGCAGTAGACCTCAGAGGAGGGCAAGGGTCAGGCTTCAGATAAGATGGATTTGGGCTGAACTAGAAGGCAGCCACATCCTGACCATGTCCTCACATCCCAGGCCTGAATGTATACAGCATGCTCAAACACCAGACTCTGGTTCTCACCCTGCCTTCCGTTGCCTTCTTGGAGGATAAGCTACTCTGGCAGGATTCAAGATACACTCCACTCTACCCCTTCCACCTTCCCTACAATGACTTCCCCTAACCCTGCCCTGGTCACCTAGAAGCTCATCCCACTTGGGGGCCAAGTCAGCAGATGCTGGAGTGTGCTTAGGTGCTAAGCCAGCAGCCTGTATTCATCTCTGGGAAGATCTGCTACCTGTGTGACATGCAGGCTTCTTCTGATAATCTTGTGTTCTTGTGATAAAATAAATAAATTTGTTTAAAGACATCATGCCAGTATTCTCAGCTTTGTTTTTTGTTTTGTTTTTCTTTTTGAGACATGGTTTCTCTGTAACAACTCTGGCTGTCCTAGAACTCACTTTTTAGACTAGGCTGGCTTCAGACTTACTGAGATCCGCCTGCCTCTGCCATCCACATGCTTGGATTAAAGGCATGTGCCACCACCTGGCTAAATTCTCAGTTAAACAAAACAACAGCCGGGCACACCTTTAATCCCAGCACTAGGGAGGCAGAGGCAGGAGGATCTCTGAGTTTGAGGCCAGCCTGGTCTACAGAGTGAGTTCCAGGACAGGCTCCAAAGCTACACAGAGAAACCCTATCTCAAAAAGACAACAACAAAACTAGGCTGGAGTGATGACTTGGCAATGAAGAGCACTGGCTATTCTCCAGAAGATCTCAGTTGGGATTCCCAGCACCTACATGACAGCTCGGCTTGTAGCTCTCTTCAACTTCAGTTCCAGAAGAGCCAGACACCCTCATTTGGCCTCTGCTGACAACAGGCACAAACATGGTGCACAGACATGGCATGTAGACAGAGTACATAAAATAAGAAAAATTAAGCCGGGTAGCGGTGGTGCACACCTTTAATCTAAGCGCTTGGGAGACAGAAGCAGACTAATCTCTCCTAGTTCAAGGTCAGCCTGATCTACAGAGCTAGTTCCAGGACAAGCTCCAAAAACGACCCAGAAACCCCCCCCCAAAGGGGGGCTTAAAAGAAAACGTTTTCCCCCTCTATGATACTGAGCATAGAGTCCAGGGCCTTGTGTCTGGGCAGTCTGCAGGGGGGGGGATGATCCGACCACAATCCAAGACAGAGCCAGTCCCTCATTTTCATTGTAAGGGGTCATGTCCGAACACTTGAAGCCACACCCTAAGATGTGCCCATCACCCCAAGTCCACTGGTAGAATAAGATGCCACTACAGAGGACTTCAAATTTGTTTGTTTATGAGACAGGGTTTCTCTGTATAGAAGCCTTGGCTGTCCTGGAACTCACTCTATAGATCAGGCTGGCCTCAAATTCACAGATGTCTGTGTCTACTTCCTGAGTAAGGTGTGCACCACTACCTGGCCATAGGACTGAAATTTTAAGGATAGCTTGAACTACATAGTAAGACCAGATAGGCATGGTGGCATACACCTTCATTCTAGCACTTGAGACAGAAGCAGGAGAGAAGGTTGGAAAAGTCACTCTTGGCTGCATAGCTTGAAGCCAGCCTGATCTGCCAAGACCCTACCTCAAAAACACTAAACAATGCCAGGTAGAGGCACTCAAGAGGCAGAGGCAGTGCATTCCAGGGGACCAAGACTACACAGAGAAACCCTGCCTCGAAAAAGGAAAACAAACAAACAAAAACCCAAACACTAAAACACTGAAGAGTGTTCCTGTCATAGACTCCTCACCCTTTGGGGATCTTTCTTCTTATTCCTTAATAAACCTATGCTTCCTCTGCTCCGAAACAATACAAAACAAAACCACCAAACACATCTTTAATCCTAGCACTCAGGAGTCAGAGGTATGCAGATCTCTGAGTTCAAGACCAACCTGATCTACAAGTGAGTTCCAGGTCAGCCAGATTGCAAAACAAAAATTTGCCAGGCAATGGTGGTACATGTCTTTAGTCCAGCACTTGGGAGGCAGAGACAGCCTGGTCTACAAAAGCAAGTTCCAGGACAGCAAGAACTGTTACATAGAGAAACCCTACTTCAAAAAACAGCAACCCCCCCCCCAAATCCTACTGTACAAGCCAGTGGAATAAGTTATAGGTGTGCTGATGTTTGCCCAGTGTGTGCGGGCCACTATTACATGTCTCTGTTCCTGTTGTGCAGCTAAAGGCATGGAGGTGGAGAGTTTCGGTCTAAGGGGACAGATGTACCTAGACATACATGCAGTTCCAACCAACATCAGAACTTTAAGGAAGCAGTAAGACTCACTACCACCCACAGGGAAAAACAAAACAGAACTGTCCACACTGATGGACAGTTCCAGGGGCAAAAGGTATCCGAAGAAAGTGATACTGTATCTGGAATGTACTTTCAAGTCATTAGGACATAGCCAGGCAAGGTGAATGCACTTGGGAAGTTGAGGCAGGAGGACCAGGAGTTTAAGGTCACCCTGGGCTGCATAGTAAGTCTGAATCTAGCCTGAGCTACTTGAGATTTTGTCTCAAAAAACAAAACATCAGGGCTGGGCATGTGGCTCAGCTGGTAGAGCTTTCACTTACAACCCACAGCTGTGGGAAATGTTAATAGGGTGCGGTAGTGCATGCCTGAAATCCTAGCTCATGGGTATTGGAGCAGAAGCTCCGGAGTTCCAGGCCAGGCCTGGATACAGAGACCAAGAGTGTATCTCAAAGTAGAGAAATAAAAACAGAGGCTGCTGGGGGTCCAGAAGGGAGGACAAACCATGTTGGGAAGAGAGGAAAAGCATGGCAGGCTGAGGGATCTGCAAGGTGTCACCACCAGAACTCACAGCAAATGAGACTGGAAGTTTCAGAACATTTGTGTGAGATGATTTGGCACCAGGGAGGAAGTCATGTCCTTCCTGCAGACTGAGGCACAGGCAGGGGAGGAAACTGTAAAGGAATATAATTCTAGAATGTACTACATTGAAGCCTGTTGCCTCTCACCTTCCCATCAGCAAATGGCCCTCCCAGGATCTCAGACCTGAACCAAGGAATTGCCTTTGGACCTGCCCCCAAGCCTCAACAAGTCCAGTGGGTCTAGCCTGAGAATGGGTCCAAGTCCAAGTGATGTCCAGTGGACTCACATATATATCAGGTTAGCCTCTAACTTTTTTTTTTTTTGAGACAAGGTTTCTCAGTGTAGCCTTGGCTCTACTGGAACTCACTCTGTAGAGCAGGCTGGCCCTGAAGTCCTAGAGATCCACCTGTCTCTGGTTCCCCAGTGCTGGGATTAAAGGCATATGCTACCAACACCCAGGTTACCTTTCTTTTTTTAAACGAGTGCTCTGTCTGCATTGCATTTGCCTACCAGAAGAGGGTATCAGACCCCATTGTAGATGGTTGTGAGCCACTATGTGGTTGCAGGGAATTGAACTCAACCTCTGCAAGAGCAGCCAGTGTTCTTAACTGCTGCACTGTTTCTCCACACACTTTTTTTTTTTTTTTTCCATGACAGGGTTTCTCTTTGTAGCCCTGGATATCTTAAAACTAGCTTTGTAGACCAGGCTGGCCTCGAACTCACAGAGATCTGCCTGCCTCTGTCTCTCGAGTGCTGGGATTAAAGGTGTGTGCTACCAACGCCTGACATCCTCTTTTATTTTTAAAAAAGTCTTGTGTGTGTGCCACATGCATATAGGTGTCTGTGGAAGCCAGAAGACAGCATGGGATCTGCTGGAGCTTGGGTTACAAGCAATTGTGAGCCTCTGGATATACTGGGAGCCAAACCTAGTTCCTCTGGAAGAGATGCAAGTGCTCCTAACCACTGGGTGTTCCCTCCACCCCTTCAATGTTTTGTCACCACACCAATTCTTTTTAACCATCAAACACTCTATCCTTGCTTTAGCTTTCCACTTTACCACTAGTCACAAATACTCCATACTTTTTTTTTTTTAATCTGGGAGGCTCTTATGTGTAGCTCAGGCTGACTGTCAGCATGTAGCAGAGGATAATCCTGAATTCCTGACCCTCCCTGCTCCCCGTGGGCTTTGTGCTTGTCCATTTACTTATTTTGGTTTTTCTTTTCCTTCTTTCTGTTCTTTGTTTTCTATGTGTAGCCCTGGTTGTCCTGGAATTCACTCTGTAGACCAGACTGACTTCCTTGCCTTTGGGATTAAAGGCTTGTGCCACCAGATTTAGCCAGGGCTTTATGCTGGTTAAACAGGCACTTGAAGCAGTTGAGAAACCCTGTCTCAAAAAACCAACCCCCTCCAAAAAACAAACAAGCAAACAAAACAAAACAAAAAACAGGCACTCTACTAACTAGCTTATTTTTTAAATTATTGCATTATATTAATTTTATTTTATATGTGAATGCTTTGCCCGCATGTGTACTATATATATGCTTGCTGCTTGACATGGTGCTACTAACTGAACTTATCACACTGCCAAGCTATCTCGTGTGGTGTGTGTGTGCGTGTGTGTTCCTGCTGATGCTAGGGAGCCCAAAAGATAAAGAATATCACATGAATCCCTAGAGCTGGAGTTACAGATTGTTGTGAGCTGCCATATGGGTGATGGGAATTGAACCAGGGCTCTCTGCAAGACAACTTGCTTTTATCTATAACAAACCATCTCTCCAGCCCCCAGTTGATGGTTTCTGAAAACAAACTCTCATGTGAGACTAGCCTTGAACTTGTGTAGCTGAGGTTGACCTCAATCAGCTGTTCTTTGCCCCACCTCCCGAGTCACAGGTTGTTCTAGGCTGCTGAGCCTTTCAGTCGCAATAGAGTTGTGTTCTGCCGGTCACCGCTCAGCTGAGTATCCCAGCAGGATTTTCCAATATTCAGCTCTGGGAACCATGGTGCCCTGCACATAGTAGGCAGCACTTAAACAACCTCGCTCTCAGGGCTGCAAATGGAAACTTACATGGCCCTGAAGGCCCCAGCACGTGAAGTAGGAACCAAAGATTCTCAGTGACACCCTGAGAAAGATCCACTCTGAGGGCTTTCCCAGACCTCCCTGAGGTCACCCTGCAACTCTGCCAAAGTCGTCCCGGGGCAGGGACTGAGTATCCCCCCAAGATCAAAAGATCCCCGTGGAAATTCTTTAGGAATGCCCAGGCTGGGGGTGTGGGTTGTGGAATGTCCCAGGAGCTGCGGCCGCGGGAGGAAGAGCGAGTGCATCTCGACCTCTCCCTTCCGCATCTGCAGCACGACCTCCTGGCCCAGCATAGGTCTCCACGGCAACCATACCGCCCCACAACAGGAAGCCTCGGGTTCCAGATCTCTCTTCGCCCGACCCGCGAAGTTCAGGGTCTGCCTCAGTTTTTCTGAAAAAGCAAAGGTTAAAATAACCAAGCACGAGGCAGGATCCGGAGTTCAATGTAGCTACAGAGTGTTTGAGGCCAGCCTGGGCTAGTTGATACCCAGTTTTCAGAAAAGAGACAGTGGTGGGGTGAGATGTGAGGGGAAGAGGGAGAGACAGAAAGGACAGGGGGGGAGGGAGAAAGGGGGATAGGGAAGAGGGGGAAAGGAGGAGAGGGAAGAGAAGACAAAGGGGGGTGGATGAGGAGGCTAGGCCCCTCTCTAAGAGATGCCTCTCTTAAGTTACTCTCAGTTTCTCATCCAGCCTGGGGAAGGGTGGCTCACGACTCCAGGCCACAGGACCAGACTTCTTCCTTCCTCCTTGGGGAGCTGTCAAGATGTCCGTCCCAGGGATCAAAGCAGAAAGAAAGGGGAAGCAAGGCCGCCGGGCAGGAGCACTTGTGGGTGGGAGGAATTGAACACTTCTGTGGCAGGACTCACCCTCGCTGGATCTGTCCAAGCCTGCTTGGCCTGCTGCCCTGAAAATCTCTAGTGTCAAATGGGTGGGGTATGACCCTGGGGAGAGGGCCACTTCCAGGGAACTCTTATCTTTGTCTAAGGCTTGTCTGGTGGGGTGGGTTAAAGAGTTGTAGGTGCTGGGGGTTCAGGATTACCGAGCCTCAGTTTAACCCTCGAGGGGATGGCAGTCCCGATGGTGCAGGGGACTAGGCATTAGTTACCCAATTAACCTGAAGCATGACTGGAAGAGGTCCCGAGCCTTCTCTCCTAAACTCAACGTTCTGGTCGTTGACACCCTCTCCCTCACACAGCCCGCCCCCAACTTGTCATTGCTTCAGTTTGGAAATCCCTGGGCCACAGTGGCCAGCGAGGCAGGACCACCCCTCTCGGCCAGGGCACAATCTCCATCCGGAAATACCAAAGTCCTCGTTCCGGAGGGGAAGGCGCGAGATTTCCGGGAAAGTGCCAGCACCACCCCTCGGCCCCCCGTGGCCAGCAGCTATAAAGGAGCAATGCGTGCCGAGCGGCACCGCAGTTCGCAAGCAGTGCTTGTCCCTGGGCGCTGCTACCTGCTGCTCTCGGTCCTGACCTTGCTATGGCTCCCCGGAGCGCCAGGCCCACGCTGCCTCAGCTCCTGGCCCTGGTGGCCGTTGTGATTCCAGGTGAGTCCGAGGTGGGGTCGCTTTTAGGGACAAGTCTCCGGACTCCAGGTGAACCCAGACACGCGCCAGAGAATCAGAGTACACGGACAGTACTTAGGCGTCTGTTAACGGGAAGTGGGACTGGAAACGAAAGGTTGAAAACCAGCAGCCCCGAGTAGTTCAAATCCCGCGGATGGGCTGCAGAACACAATTCTGTCTGCTTGTCCGTGTCTGCCTGTCTGTCTCTGTCTCTCTCTCTCTCCCTCTACCCCCTTCCCCCTTTTTTTTCCTGTTTTGAGACACTTAGCCTAGGCTAGCCTTGAACTTTCGACCTCATGGACCCCTCCTTTTCCCCCTTCAGCCTGGGATGACAGGCTCAAGACGTACTACTTCTCTATAAACTTGTACGTTTAGACCAATGGGAACCGTGGTCACAGCCCTTGTCTTGGGGCAGTCAGAATGTGGCCCGGGGGGGGGGGGGGGAACAGATAGTAGGGGGACCAGCTACTACCAAGCTGAGTCTTGAGGTCCGGTTCCCTCCCCACAGATACCTTGTTCCTCATCCTCACCCCTGGGGAAGTCCAGGCTGCTTCTGAGTTGGGGAATTCCAGGGTTGGTGTACTCAGAAGCCAGAGGCAGAGAAGTGAGACGGCTCAGGGCTCCCCACGCTGCCCTCCCTTGTGCAGCCTGGGGCAGTACCAGCTGTCCTCCAATGAAAGGAAGATCCCGAACTTGCTCAGCAGCTCACAGGAGGCTTCTGACCTGGACTCTCAGAATCTATTACTCCTTGCTGGATCAAGTCTTTTTAGCCTCAGGGTTCTCCATAGAACCAGAATAATTCCAGAAGTGCCTGAGAGAGTCTCCAGAGGGAATACCCAGACTGCTAATCAGAGCACTTGGGGCGGGTTGTTTTACCTCCCTTGCCTGGGTTTCTCTGTGTAGCCCTGGCTGTCCTTGAACTCACCCTGTAGACCAGGCTGGTCTTGAATTCAGAGAGATACACCTGCCTTTGCCTCTGCCTCCTGAGTGCTGAGATTAAAAATGTGCACCATCACACCTGGCATTAGGGACACATTTTTAAAAATAATTTATTTTGTGTGTATTGGTGTTCTACCTGCATATCTGTGTGAGGGTGTTAGATCTTGGAGTTACAGAGAGTTGTGAGCTGCCATATCTCTTCAACCCTAGAGACACATTTGGAATGTGACCACCACTACACAGAGGATACTCTGATTTCCTTTCTTTCCTCTCTCCTACTGCCCACTCTTTCAGACCCTGCTGGGCCTTTATGTTCTTTGTTCTATCTATAATTGGCTTCTTTTCAGGCAGTGCCTTGTCATCCTTCAGATCTCTGCTCAAATCTGCTTCCAAGGAGCTATATGATATACCCTACTCTGCTTTGGTTTTACCAAAACTCTTATTACCAACCACTATTGAAACTTTGTGATAGCACACCCCTTTGGTCCCAGCACTCCAGAGGCAGACAGGCAAATCTTTGTGTGTGGTGGCTAGCCTGGTCTACACAGGAAGTTCCAGGACAGCCAGGGCTACATAATGAGACCATGTCTCAAAAAACAAACAAATAAACAAACAAAGCAAAAACAAAGTAACAACAACAACAACAAAAACCCAACAGCTACTATCTGGGGCTGGGCTTATAGTGCTGTTACATCCATGTTTTGGGGTACTGAGGGTGAAACTCTGACTTCAGGCATGCTAGTGGTGCTCTGCCCACTATGCACACCCCCTCTCAGGCCCTCAACACTCATATTTATCTCGTGTGCTCAAGCATGGCTGCCTCCTGCATTGAGGGCAACATCCTGTCTGACTCAAGGCTGCATGCATGCCCAGCACCTAGCTCTGAAGTCACATGGCTGAACCAGCCTATCATCTCTCCCCTTTGTTCCAGGGCCTGGTGGTGCTCAAGTGTCCATCCACCCCAAAGAAGCCTTCTTGCCTCGGGGTGCATCCATGTGGGTGAACTGTTCCTCCTCCTGCAGCAAGAGTCACAACCTGGGCCTGGAGACTCAGTGGCCCAAAGTAGAACTAGATCATGGACACAACTGGAAGCTATTTGAACTGAGTGACATTGAAGAAGACAGCAATCCACTGTGCTTTGAGAACTGTGGTCCCACCCAGTCCTCAGCCTCTGCCACCATCATCTTGTACTGTGAGTGACACCTGGGGGTGGGGTGTAGGGAGACTCACTGGGGATATGGCAGCTGGCACCAGGAGGCAGCTTTGGAAAGTCTCACTATCACTTAGAGATCTCTTTAAACTTTTGCCAGGAGAGTGTACCACAGGAATTTAGAATATTCCAGAATGCCACCATTTGATGCCTGGATTGTTCTGCTGAGGAGGGTGCTGTAACAATGTGTGTATTCAGGAGCAGTGGGGGCAGAATGAGGGAGGCTATATTTATACATGGAACCCAGGCAGGCTTCACATGCTGCACTAGCACTAACCAACCAACCCACCTCCCAGCTTCTCTGGGTATTCTAGGCAGGGGTTCTGCCCTTGAACCATGCCCCTAGCCCCTAACTGGGGAATTCCAGGCAGAGGTTATACCCAGCTGGCTTTGGCTTTGGAATTGGCACCGAGGAACTGGGTAACCACTGGGCACTTGGCATCTTGGTTTATTTGTTGACCATGTCAAGCTTTCCTCAGATTGTTCTAATACAGGGAAGCCTAAAGGCCACCAATCTTATCGGTATCAGGACAAAAGCCTTATGTGGTTTGGAGGATGTGGGCTTATGTATCAATGCTGCCCCAGAGGGAAGTCCCCAAGCATTCCTGGTGGCCTCAGGAAGTACCTCTGCAGAGCTTTTTTCAGTGTACCTGATCTTGGGAGCCCAGGCTGTGGCTGTAATTGTCTTTGCTGCATTTCTGTATCTGTCACTTTGGCTGTGCCTTAATTTCTACTCTATGAACACAATGAACCTGAGCCAGGTGTGGTGGTTGCATGCCTTTAATCCCAGTACTTGGGAGGCAGAGTTCAAGGCCAGCCTGGTCTACATAGTGATTTCCAGGTCAGTGGGGTTTGGGGAAGGCACCAACAAACAACAACCAAAAAACCCAACTGGGGATGAGGATGCTCTAGGCAGAGGGTACAACCCAGAGCAAGGCTGGAATAGGAAACTACAACCTTGCTGGAAGAGAGAGGGCTGCACATGGTGAGTCAGGTGCTAGCATTTTCTCCCTTGGGAGTCAGGGAGCCATGAAGGGTGTGGAATAATACCCAAAATGTGGATAACAGAAAGCTGGATTACTAGAAGCTGGACAGCAATTGGCATCCAGCCACAGCCTGTCTGCACTTACTGCTTGTGATTGCAGCATCCAAGATGGGAAGGGCAAACAAATATTTGAAGAATGGAGCAACCAGGACTTGATGAGAGACTGCAGTTCAGAGACAAGAAGGAAGATGAAGAACTATGCCCTCTCCCATGGGCCCGTGTTTTAAGACAGGGAGGCAGCTCTGCAGTTGTTTGGGGACGTATGTTTGAAAGGACCTCCAATTCTACAAGTTGTATTTTTAAATTTTTATTTATTTTGCATGTGAAAGGGGTGGCACAATATGTGTGGATGTCAGAGGTCAACTTTTACAAAAAGATTCATTTTTATTTTGTGTGTGGATGTTTTGCTTGTAAGTCTGTACACCAAGTGCCTACCTGGTGCCCGAGAAGAGGGAGCCAGATTCCCTTGGATCCTGAGCCACAATGTAGGTGCTTGGTCCTCTGTGGAGTTTGTTTGTTTATTTATTTATTTATTTTTGTTCAGCTTTACATTGGGTCCAGGGATTGGACTCAGGCACGCAGGCACAAACACTTTTATCCACTGAGCCAGATCACTGGCACATTTTCATTTAACCTAATCTTACTTTATCTGTGGGACTGGGCATGGAATCCAGGGGTTTCCTCCTGATAGGCAAGACCTCTAAGACTGGGCCACCACCCCCTCTGTCTTGAGGGGTGAGATCAACCTCCAGCACACCCAGGTGCTTAGATTTCTACTTATTTGCCCAGTGTTCTGCTGATAGAATTTGGAGTTCATTTCCACCTCTCAGATACTGCTTCTGGGAATGGTTATAGTCCCTGTGCAAACACTCCTGGCCTCCTCCCTAGCTTTCCCCAAAACTCTCTGCATTCCTGGCTGCTTAGGTGGTGGGGTGTGTTGGGGAGACTGAGGGTTTTAGATAGGTGTGGTCATTTTGGGGCGGTCCATCTTACAGGATCCCCAACCCTCTGTCTCCCTGCAGCCTTCCCGGAGCGTGTGGAGCTGGACCCTCTGCCTGCCTGGCAGCCAGTGGGCAAGAACCTCACCCTGCGCTGCATGGTGGATGGTGGAACACCACGGAACCAACTCTCTGTCAAGCTGCTCCGAGGGGAAGAGGTGCTGCACCAGGAGTCAGTAGATGTGGACTCCATGAACCCCAAGGAGATCACAACCACGGTACTGGCGAGCAGAGATGACCACGGAGCCAATTTCTCATGTCGCACAGAACTGGACCTCAGGCCACAAGGGCTAGCACTGTTCCCAAATGTCTCCATGGTCAGGCAGCTCCGGACTTTTGGTGAGATCCTGGGAATCAAGGTGTTCCTACATACCTTGGGAATGTATGCAGGCACGGGTGGGATTTCCGGAAGAAACCACCCCGTGTAATGTGGGTGAGGTGCTGAGAAAATGGTGATCTTGATAGTGGAAGTTTTGGGATCATCGAGATAACTAGATGACGTGAGTTCAATTTCCAACTTCCAGAGGTGAAAACTGACTCTTGAAAGTTGTACACGTACACACAGTAAATACAATAAATGAATACAAAGAAGAAAGAGGTTTGTGGGTGGCCATAGCTCTTACTCAATCCTGTCTTCTCTCTTAAGATCTTCCTGTGACCATCCTGAAGCTAGACACCCCTGACCTCCTGGAGGTGGGCACCGTGCAGAAAGTAATGTGCTCCTTGGGCGGCCTGTTTCCTGCCTCTGAAGCCCAGATAACTCTGGAGCTGGGAGGCCACACACTGACCTCCAAGAGCACAAACCACAGAGACTTGGTGTCAGCCACTGCCTTGGTGACTGCAGAGCTGGAGGGAACTCAGCAGCTGCGCTGTGTTTTGGAGCTGGCAGACCAGATCCTGGAGGCAGAGAGGAACTTGAGCATCTATAGTAAGAAGGGGTGGAACTTAGTCCAGAGATAGCTGGAGCCTTGTTTGATACCAAGGAAGGGTATTAAAAGGGGAGCGACTCAGTGTAGGGGCACAGGTATGGGACTTCAGGAGGCAGTGGCCTACTGTGGGGTAGCCCATGCAAGAGTCAGGACTGGCACCAGGTGCAGGGCTAATAGGCTAATGGCACTTTCAAGAGGAACTCAGGCAGTAGTGACACATGTATTAATCCCAGCACAGGGGTGGCAGAGGCAGGTGGAATTCTTATAAGTTCGAGGCCAGCTAGAGCTACACAGTGAGACCCTTTCTCAAAAAATAGCAACAAAAATACGCTAGGCTTTTGAAAAGGAGGAATCCACTCCAGGGATGGCCATTGCTGGAAGTTGGGGCTGACACTAGAGGGAACCTTGGAGTCAAGTCCACCCACACTTGAAGCTAGCCATTGAGGGCGGGGCTTGAACTGGGCGGGGCTCACGGTGTGTACTGTCCACAGATTTCTCAGCTCCGGTCCTGACCCTGAGCCAAAAAGAGGTCTCAGAAGGGAGCCAAGTGACTGTGAAGTGTGAAGTTCACGGAGGAGCACAGGTGGTGTGGCTGAGTGGTGCTCCGCCCAGGCCCCCATCCTCGAAGACCCAGTTCACACTGAATGCCAGCGCTAAGGATAACAAGAAACGCTTCTTTTGCTCTGCAGCTCTGAAGGTGGCTGGGCAGGTGCTGTTAAAAAATCAGACCCTGGAACTCCACGTGTTGTGTGAGTGGGGCTGCGGGGTGGTGATTGCGGTCCCCTAAAACCCCAAGTGCCCTGAGCCCTCCGTGATCTGTGTCCACACTATCATTTCTCCAGATGGCCCCCGGCTGGATGAGGTGGACTGCCTGGGGAACTGGACCTGGCCTGAGAGGTCTCAGCAGACTTTGAAATGCCAGGCCTGGGGAAACCCATCCCCCAAACTAACCTGCAGCCGGAAAACAGATGGAGCCCCGCTGCCCACTGGGGAAGTGAAGAGCGTCACACGAGAGATGAACGGTACCTATGTGTGCCATGCTGTGAGCTCCCATGGAAATGTCACCAGGGATGTGTTCCTGATAGTGCTTTGTGAGTGTCCCAGGGTATAGAGCTGGGTGCCTGGTGGGCAGGGTGCCAGGTCCTCAATCCTTACCATCCCCTTCTGTCTCTACTACACAGATCACCAGCCTAATAGCTGGGTCATCATCCTTGTGGTGACAATGCTGGCTACTGTGCTCCTTGTGGGGGGCCCGACCATTTACCTTTATAACCGACAGAGAAAGATCAGGATATACAAACTGCAGAGGGCACAGGAGGAGGCCATGAAACTCAAGGCCCCACCTCACTGACCCACAAGGACACCAACACCTCCCTGGACCCCCCTGTGGGCAGCAGCCAGTACTACTTTTGAACAGAAAGGTAGACAGATAGTGTTTACCCTTGCCCCCTCCTCAGGCTGTGACAAGACAAGATGGTGGCCTGGGGAGCAATCAGACCTCCTCACACTTGTGGCTTCAGGACTTCGTGGAGAGGACCTAACAAGATCAAGGTTGTGTTTCTGTGACCTGAACACACCCACAGCCTGTGGCCTTCAGTCAGGAAATGCTGACCTCATTCCCATTGCCCATGCTTGGGGCCCCTGCTTAAGGAAAAGTGATATCCAATAGACACAAGCAAGAGTCGGAACATAAGACCATACTTTCTCTGGCACAGGAATGCTGGGACATTGTCCCCAACTCTTCATCATGATGTATTTATTAATTCAAAGTTTTACCTGGAGGTGGGGATGTAGCTCAGTGGTAGAGCACTTGCTTAGCAAGCACAAGGCCCTTGGTTCGGTCCTCAGCTCCAAAAAGAGAGAAAAAAAGTTTTACCTATTTATTGAGTACCTTGCATAGATACTAGAGCAGTGAGCAGACGAATATACAGGTTCTTGTCAGGATACTGTTGCAGGAGCTATGTACACAACAGAGCTTGGAGAAAGGTTCACATGGGGCTGGGGTGCCTCTGTTGGCCAGGATGATTTTTCAAAAAGAGCCGTCATAAGAATACTAAGTGGATGAACAATGGTTCCCTGCTCATAGGCCTCTCTTGGAGTCCTGACTCCAGCACCACCATCAAGAGTAACCACTTCTCCATCCACATACATTCCTACCTTTGCTCCCTGAGTCAACCATCATACCCAAATATGGATGACCACCCTTGGCAGCTGAACAATGGAGTCCCTGCATGCCCCCACCTGGCTCCACCTCAAACAGCCTGGAAGCAGCCTGGAAGATGCTGCAGCCACTCAGTAGGGCCCTGCATGCTGGGGGCGGGGAGGGGGCACAACTCCCCTTCCAGCTCAGAAGCTTTTCATTTGAGTAAATAAAGTGTTATGTTGGTTTCAGCCTCTTGTGAATTTAAGGATACGCATTATATCCGTCAGCTAGAGCCCTTTCTAAGTATTCCTGACTCTCCTGCTTCTTCAAAGGGTTGTCTGATATCTAACCCCGAGTCTGAAACTGTGTGTGTGTGTGTGTGTGTGTGTGTGTCTGTCTGTCTGTCTGTCTGTCTGTCTGTCTGTCTGTCTTTGCTTTTTAAGATAAAGTATGTAGCCCTGGCTGTCCTGGAACATGCTGTGTGGAATGAACTGGCCTCTAACTCACAGAGATCCACCTGCCTGACTCCTGGATGCTTGGAATAAAGGCCTGAGCCACTAATGACCTTTTGGGAGTTAAGTGAAAACGAAAGCCCAGTTCAGAAACGTGCAATAACTTCTCATTGACAGTGGGGTCTGATGTGTCATTTTAGAGTCCAGGATAGACGGTGTCTTCAACAGGTTTTCTGGGCCCACTCTGGGGTGTGGCCAGGGAACCTTATCTCCAGGGAGCCTTATCTCCAGGGCCAGCTGAAGCTTCCTCCCCCCCCCCCCCCCCCCGCGCAACTCACCGCGGGCTTTGTGCCATGGAGTCTGTCCTGTTCTCGTCGCTTTTGCTAGTAGCTGCCTATCCAAGGAGTGGGAGCCTCCAGCATGAGTGGATGCAAAGCCCTCCCATGCCTTCCAGGGCCTCAATGCCTTTCTTGGTACGTTTAAGCCCAGAGGTGGAGGCTGTGCCTCCTGGGGGCTCCGTGTGGCTTAACTGCAGCCACAGCTGCCCCCTGCCGGTGCGTTCCAGCCTGCGCACTCAGCTGCGGCAGGGAAAGACACTCAATGGCTCGGGTTGGGTATCTTACCAGCTACTGGATGTGAGGGCCTGGAATTCCAAGGTGCGCTGCGTCGTCACTTGCGCAGGAGAAACGCGCGAGGCCACCGCCAGGATCACCGCTTACAGTGAGGGAAATGGGGGCTCAGGCCGGGGTGGGGGTGAGGGGAGAAGGGTGGAGGAAGGGGGTAGTTTGCTTTTGCTTTAGGAGGTGACTGCTGGTCTTACCCTCCTTGCCTTAGAACGGCCGAGAAGTGTGATCATGGAGCCTCCTGTCCTAGTAGGCCACAAGTACACTCTACGCTGCTATGTGATACACGTGTTCCCCGTGGGGTTCTTGGTGGTGAGCCTAAGGAAAGGTGGCCAGGTGGTTTATTTTGAAAGTCTGGAGCGCTTCACCGGTTCAGATCTGGCTAATGTCACTTTGACCTACGTGATACGGGCAGGACCCAACGACCTCTGGCAACCACTCACTTGCCATGCACGCCTCAATCTTGATGGACTAGTAGTGCGCAGCAGTTCTGCACCTGTTATGTTCACGATGATCGGTGAGGCACCCTGCAACCTGGGGGGGGGGGAATTGGTGCGGGAGAGGGGATGTTGCCATTCCAAAAGGGCCCACAGAACAGGCATGGGCTCCAGTCTTGGAGGTCCTCAAACCTCCTCGTTCCTGATTTTCATTTCCGCTCCCAGCTTTGAACCCAGCATCCAAAGCCTTGGCTTCTGCCTCCATTGTGGCCCTGGTGGGGATCCTCCTGGCTGTGGGGGCTGTCTACGTGCGCAAGTACCAGGCCGTGCAGACTCAGTTATAAACGGGTGTTTGATGCCTGACAAGAGGGATAAAAAAAGAAGCTCAGAGCAACTAATTCAGATACTCTTGTTGGATCAATAAAGCCTTCCTCAGTCTCTGTTTTATGGTTTTTGGAGGAAGTGGTTTCCTTTTTAGGTGACCCTGTTTTCTCCAAATACCTTGCCTACGGGCTGAAGATTTGTAGCTCAGGGGTAGTCCGTTTGCCTGGTTTCAATACTGGAAACAATACCCATGTGTCTCAAGGCACCTGGAGTTTCTCACCCATGTGTCTCAAGGCACCTGGAGTTTCTCCTTCAACACAGGCGTGTTGTCCCAGAATCCGAGTTACTCAGCATAGTGTTTTCCCCGGTTTTATCCCTGCGGGCTAAACTGGCCTCCCCTCCAGGCCCTGGGTTGGATAAGAGCTGGCTCTTGGTATGGCTTTTCCTGATTGGCTCCGCGGATACACACCACAGCTCTGATTGGAAGCTAAGTTTCCCTTCACCTATCTTCTTTTCCACTACAGATCTTGCACGTTACTAACGGGGGCCAGTGGGTGGAGCTAGACCCGGTACCCCGAGGTTACAATTAATGAAAAGGAGGGGGAACAAGATTGGGCGGGGCCTCTTGCACGGAGTAGAGGAAGCGGATACCCAGATAAGAAATCTAGCATAGCAACAAGTTAAGGATGATTGCTCAGGCCACATGGGCTGTCACAGACTTCCATCCTAGCAACGTGTTTGTTGTCACCGAGCCTGGTATGCCTGTGAGGAGGAGTGTCAAAGCTTGGGGACAGATGCGAGGTCACACGTGTCACCAATTGATCTCAGGTCCAGCTTAGATTGCAGAATCTCGCACTGGTTATCCCCCAGAGGCTGCGGTGCCCTCGGCGAGGAACGTGGCAGATGATCTCTTGAAAGACTTGGTTCAAAACAGCATTGTAGACACATTCCCGCTGCACTCTGGGTAAATACAGATCAGGTGCCGGAACTGACTCTAATTTAGACGCCTGCGAACACTGCGCACACGCACACGTGTCCGCGACTGGCAGGCACTTGATGCCCTCCTTTGCCGTGTGCGCGGAGGAGGTCTTAGGGGCGTGGCTCCCATCCTCAATCTGTTGGAGGTCAAAGAGAAGCATCAGTTACAAGAGGCATTCCCACACCCTCCTCTTAAAACCACCTTTTCAGCATACTATGACTCCCCAAGATTCTACAAGCAACCCCACCTGCTCCAAGGGGCGCTGGTGGGAGGGGCCGAAGATGGGCGTGGCTTGAAGCCCTAGCGCTTTATCCCAGAATCTATACTTAGGGTGGTGGAGTTTGGGCAGGGCTTCACAGCATCCCTCCCATACTTCGCCACATATGACGCAGGAGACCACTGTCGCCCCCAGAAGTCTTTAGACCATTAGGCCGACTTCCACGGGGTACCGCTCTTGCCTGGTCAGCTTGTCTCACTAAGGCCGCGAGCAGCCCAGTGCGCTCTTGCCTCCCGCCAGTTCGCCCCCCATCACCGCCTCGGCCACCGCCTCCTCCTTGGAAACCAAGTTACCAACGTTTAAACCAATCCCCGGGCGCAATTCTACCACCCCCACACTCCACCCGCTGCGCTGCGCCGTCCTCCCAGCCCGGTTCTCCATCACTCGCGCTCCCCTCGCTTCCTGCGTTCTCCCCTCCCCGGCAGCGGCGGCGATGCCGGGGCCTTCGCCAGGGCTGCGCCGAGCACTCCTCGGCCTGTGGGTTGCCCTGGGCCTGGGGATCCTCGGCACCTCAGGTAAGAAGAGCCTGCCCGTGGAGCCAGGTGGACAAGGCGGGGGCGGTTTTGAAAGGACCCGAGAGGGCGGCCCGGGTGTCCCCTCCAAGCTCCGCCCTCTTCTTGCTTCCCACGTTTCTGCTGCCACCTGGAGCCCTGGGTTTCTCCCCGTCCGTCTTCCACCCCAACAAACCTCGATCTTTCAGATCTGAACCCAGCACCTTTTCTGGATTCGAGGTTTGGCACCCAACCCCGCTCAGGAGACACTGTGGCTTTCCTATTTTTTTTTTTTTTCCTGCTCTGTTGTGCCCTATGGTTCACGAACTGGCATCATCCCTATTCATGATGCTCAAAGACCCCCCCCCATCTCCTCAACTGTTATGACTCAGGCTCTGTTCCCCCTCTACCTGTAGCCCTAGCAACCGGCTTTCTGGGGCTTTTCCAGCTGTTCCTTTCCGGAGTCCAGCCTTGAGGCTTCCTGTCCAAGTTATTCGAGTTTGGGGACAGTCTCTTTTAAGCCTTTGGCTCAGTCTCGTCTCTACTTTGCTTTCTCCCCCCCCCCCCAATATCAGTGTTTCCTCACCTCCAATTATTGACGATCTGCCACAGTCTTGAGACTCACTTGGCTCCCCATCCCCCCTCTGTAGTCTCCTCCCCACTATTGACGTGTGCATTGGAGACCCCATTTTCTCTGCACCGAGTTTCCCCATCTCTGCCTTAGAAAGCAAGGCTTCCAGAGACGCCCCTCTGAGAATGTGCCAGCCTCGAAGCTTGAATGGGGTGCGGGACTCCCTTGCTATTTCTTGGCGGTGGCCTCTCCTCGTCCTTGCAGACACCCCTGATTTGGGATATAGGGGCGCTAAGATTTCAGAGAGGGGTCCCCCCCCCCGGCTGAACCCGCGTTTTCCCGGACAGAGATCGCGCTAGAACCTTTCTGGGCAGACCTTCAGCCCCGCGTGGCGCTCGTGGAGCGCGGGGGCTCGCTGTGGCTCAACTGCAGCACTAATTGTCCACGGCCGGAGCGCGGTGGCTTGGAGACATCACTGCGCAGGAATGGGACCCAAAGGGGTCTGCGCTGGCTGGCTCGGCAGCTGGTGGACATCCGAGAGCCAGAGACGCAACCTGTCTGCTTCTTCCGCTGCGCGCGCCGAACACTACAAGCGCGTGGGCTCATTCGAACTTTCCGTAAGTTCTGGGTGGTCATGCCCCTTAGGTCCCCGAACCTCCCCTTCAAACTCCGCCCACCGGCCCTCACGCCCTCGTTCCCACGCGCAACAGGTTGATTGCAGCTTACTAGAGCCAACGTTTCGGTCCCTTGCAGAGCGGCCGGATCGGGTAGAGCTAATGCCATTGCCTCCTTGGCAGCCTGTGGGCGAGAACTTCACCTTGAGCTGCCGGGTTCCGGGAGCAGGACCCCGAGCCAGCCTCACGTTGACTCTGCTGCGGGGCGCCAAAGAGCTGATCCGCCGCAGTTTCGCTGGAGAGCCACCCCGAGCGCGCGGCGCAGTGCTCACCGCCACGGTCCTGGCACGCAGGGAAGACCACGGAGTCAATTTCTCATGCCTCGCTGAGCTGGACCTGCGGCCACACGGCCTGGGACTCTTTGAAAAAAGCTCCACCCTCAGACAGCTCCGCACCTTTGGTGAGTGTGAACCGTAACTGACAGGTTTTATGAAATTTAGGGGCAGCCAGGTGTAGTGATGCACGCCTCTAGTCCCAGAACTTGGGAGACAGAAGCAGAGGTAAGCAGATGTCTGTGAATTTAAGTCCAGTCTGGACTACACGGGGCTGTGTAGTGAGATCGCCTTAAATTTAGCGCCTAGACCTTACTTCAACACTAGTACTAGCTTAAGTGTTTACCTCTGTGGGGTTTTTTAGTTTGTTTTTGTATTTATTTATTGAGTGGGGAAAGAGGGAGAGTAATTGGGAGAGAGGGGGAGAGGAGGAGAGAGAGAGCATGCATGTATGCACACGCCACGATGCATATATGGAAGTTAAAGGACAACTTTATTGGGAGTTGGTTCTCTTCTTCCGCCATGTGGGTCCTAGGGATCGAATCAGGTCGTCAGGCTTGGCGGCAAGCGCCTTTATTCGCTGAGCCATATTGCTGGCCCTTTTGTATTTTTATGAAACCAAGCAATGCATGTAAATTGTTTGGTCCACACTGAATGCTTAATACTTAAACTCAAACTCTAGTTGTTTATCTCCCCCAGCCCTGCCTCCAATTCCCCCGAGCCTGATTACTCCTCGATTCTTAGAAGTGGGCTCAGAAAGGCTGGTGAGCTGCACTTTGGATGGACTGTTTCCTGCCCCGGAAGCCGGGATTTACCTCTGGCTGGGAGATCAGAGGCTGCATCCTGATGTGACCTTCGATAAAGACAGCCTCGTGGCCACTGCCATAGCTATGCCAAGCGCAGAACAGGAAGGCACCAGACAGCTGATGTGCAGCGTGACCCTCGGGGGCCAAAGCAGGGAGACCCAGGAAAATCTGACTGTCTACAGTAAGGGGAATCGAGGAGAGGGTTTCAATGGCTGTGACTCAGGCCAGAGTCTCACCTAGGCAGAGCCTATAAGTGGGCGGGCCTCCACACCGGAACAGGCAGGGCGGGAGAGTTCCAAGGCTGGAGGAGCAGAAGGAACCTGGAAATGAATGGAAATGAATAAATGGGGGGGGGGGTGATGAGTTACCTGAGCGGGGAGTGCCAGTGAACCCCACCCAATGCTCCACCCACCAGGTTTCCCTGCTCCTCTTCTGACTTTAAGTGAGCCAGAACCCCCAGAAGGGAAGGTAGTAACCATAAGCTGCTGGGCTGGGGCTCGAGCCCTTGTGACCTTGGAGGGAATTTCAGCCGCAGTCCCTGGGCAACCCGCTGAGCTCCAGTTAAATGTCACGGAGAACGATGACAAGCGGGACTTCTTCTGCGACGCTGCCCTCGAAGTGGATGGGGAGACACTAAGAAAGAACCAGAGCGCTGAGCTTCGTGTCCTGTGTGAGTAGGTGTTCACCATAGCTATCTTTGTGACCTCCTGGACCATGTCTTCGGGCCCCATCTTTAACCTTACTGTAGTCCCTCTGCTTCATGCCTGCAGATTCACCTCGGCTGGATGACTCAGATTGTCCCAGGAACTGGACATGGCCCGAGGGTCCAGAGCAGATCCTCCGCTGCGAGGCCCGTGGAAACCCAGAGCCCTCAGTGCATTGTGCTAGGCCTGATAGCGGGGCGGTGCTGGCGTTGGGGCTGCTGGGTCCAGTGACTCGCGCCCTCGCAGGCACTTACCATTGCACAGCAGTCAATGGCCAAGGCCAGGCAGTCAAGGACGTAACCCTGACTGTAGAGTGTGAGTAGGGAGAGGTGGGCACCTG